ATGTGGTGGAATATTATCTTGCCGTAAAGAAAGAATGAAATCTTGCCATTTGTAACAACATGGACAGCGCCCTTAGGGCATTATTCTAAGTGAAATAAGTCAGACAGAGAAAGATGAATACCTTATGATCTCTCTTACATGTGGGATTAAAAAACAAACAGCTCATAGACCCAGAACAGACTGGTGGTTGCCAGAGGAAGTGGGTGGGAGTAGGAGGAACAGGTGAAGGGGGTTGAAGGGTAAAAAGAAAGCAAACAAACAAACAAACAGAAATAAATATAATTGAATATGTACTTTGTATCATCTATTGAATATATACTTATTTATACAGTGTCAATTGTATCTGTCTCTATTTTCTGAGAGGAGAAGATTAAATGTGGATAATTGTAAGTCAAATTACACCAGGAGCACAAGGTACTAATCAACACAGGTGGTAATGCATTACAATCAGTTCAAAAGAGAGTCCCATAATTTGAGCAAGAAAGAGGATTAGTTGAATGTTCTAGTTGGAAATTTAACTATAGATTCAATTTCTTATTTCTTGGGAGATAAAAGTCTCTAAGTGATTTTATAGCTTATAATGAGATATTTAAATGGCATGCATAAGCGTACAATAATGCTAACACATCGATTTGGGAAAAAGCATTGAGTTATGGGAAATTATAACTATGTGAAAGACTTGTTCTGTTGATGTAACAAGAAAAGCGTGACTATTAAATTATTGGTCAAATTCATGTGCACTGATTCACATTTGAGTCATTTTGGACAGAGTAGCTTATTCTCATGCCCCAACTGAGGTTCATATAATCAACAACACAGATACTGCAACCACAGCTAGTTGAGACAATATTTTCTATTTTTAAAAAGGAACTACTATTAACATAAGCTATAAAATATGAAGCAAAATATGGAAATATTAAATTAATAATTTTTATTACTGATTTTTTTCCTAAGTAAGTTTAGGCATTTGTGAAGATTTCTGTCTGGTTTTAAAGTACCTGAAATGAATTAGATGGGGTTTTATTGAAATGTTTAGAAAAATTTGAGATCCTAATCAACATTTAAATGGTTGGATATGATTTATTAAACTTACAAGTTTTGGTTTATTAGCTGTTTAAATGGTGTACAAATGTTTAGAGAAACTTCATTTGTTAGAGTTGTATATTTAATAAGCTGGGCATTAAATGAAGAATAAATAGCAGTGAACATTATATTTCAGGCACCAAAGTCTCTCAGACAAAAAAAAAGAAAGAAATTAAATGCCTAGTTTTGTGCTACACACAATATAGGTGCTCATTAATTTCTTTTTCCCTGAAGTTACCTGGCTGTTTTCAGGTAACTTTTTATTCCGTATTTTGTGCCATAGTTTATTTTTATCCTATATTTTTTCTCATGTTTCAGTAGCTGTCTTAGATGTGGTTTTTGTGTCTTCTCCTAGCTCTTGCTACTATTCACACTACAATAAAGATACTTTAAGAAGAAAACAGGGATTGTTGGTCAAAGTTAACTTTCAGGTTACGTAGCAGCTCCACCCAACATAGGCTGTGAAAAACTCATAGTGAATCATGCAGTAATTAACTAAGCTACTATACAACTAAAATTTTTGGGGGGAGGGGGTCTTGTATTGTGCCTTCTAGGTTGAGGACCAACACATTATTTATGCAACCCAAACTGACCATGTTCCGCAGTGGTCACCACAGCTCTAAGCTCAATTTCCCAGAACACTCTTGTGTGGTGGAAGTTCCCATTTCCACATAATCTGGAATGATTTAGGTTTGAAAGGTCCCCAGTGTGTGGATGTAGCTGTGGTGATGACAGCAATGTAACGGATGGGATTTTGCTTTGGTGTATGTTAAGGGTAACTGCTTTGCCCACTGTTGCTTTAGGCTGGTTAATCAGGGTGATTCTGAGATAGAGTTCCTTTGCTGTGTGGCTGCTGACCTGGACCCAATGTCTTACATAGCTCGTGCATGTTAGACCAGTGAACACACTCGATACAGATTGTTATTCTACCTTTAAGTTTGTTTTTGTATCACCTTATAGAAGTAAGTTACAAAAAACATACTAATTTTATTATCTTGACTTCTGAGACTAGTCTAGTCTTACTTCACCACAGATTGTTCTTTCTGATAAAGACAACTGTAGCTTTCTACTATGAGTTACTCTTGTCCTTGCTGACTACTTGTTGTTCTTGATATTGCTATTCATACTAGGGAACCCCTCTTCTTGGTATCCCGGCTTTTCAGGTTCAAACAAACTCCTTCATGATGTGGTTGGAAAAAAGAGCTCCTAAGTAGATTGTATCTCAGAAATTATGATCACTTTCATTCCCAATTTTTGTCTTGAAAGATGATATTAATTCCCCAATACTTAAATTTCTGATCAAGCACAGGTAACTTCTAGTTCTTGGCTAGAAAGAAATAATAGTGATATACTACTACTACTACTACTACTACTACTACTACTACTGATCCTTTAACAGTGGCCACACCCTAGAGCCAGGAAGCCTATGTTTATATCTCAGATACACTATTTACTAGCTATATGACCTGTATGACCTAGGGCAAGTTAAATAACTCCTCTGTGCTTTTATTTAAAATCTATAAAATGATACCTATATTACGAGAATGCTGTGAAAATGTTTTCCACAACATTCTGTAGGAGAATGTTTTCCATGCCATTATATGGGCATGGAAAACTGCCTGATACATGAGTGTTCAGTAAATGTTAGCTATTATCAAAAGCTATGGAAGATGAGTCATATGATAATGTTCCATGTTAAAAATGGGCTGTTTTATTTTAGGTGATTTAAACTTTTCTGTGGGATTAAGAAAGATTTTGATCCTCTAATACCTGAATGTCCCTTGCTCTCATTTTTCTTTATACTGTGTCTGTCCATTAAATCTGGTATAGTTAACGGTAACCACCTTGCTAGTAAAGCCAAAATATTCTGAAATCAGCTCTGCCATCCCAATTTCATGAGATTTTCAGCTCTTCAGCTCAGAGTACCAATTGTGTAAAAAAAGTGCGATGAATTCTAACTCACTTTTGATTGCAATGATCTGAACCAAACACGGAAACTTAGTTGATCCAAAATGATTTGGGCTTTACAATTTTGTGCATTACGTGATCTGCACACTCAAAACAGGACTATCTTTGAATTTAACAGATTTTCTTTTTCAGAAGACAAAAATTCTTTTAATTAAGAACATTTTTTAAAATTTCAGTATGTGTAATCGTTAACACCTGCAATGTGTTATCAACAGATGTTTCTGGCTTACCGAAGGGAACTGTTGTAATTATTCTATAGGCTTATTGGAATGGCATTTACCAAGATAGTTGGGAAATGTTAGTGGCTGACTTTGTTTGCAATATTTGGTATTTTTTTCATCCTTTCCCTGATTGCTATCAATCCCCACCCCTTCCCCCCACCAGGCCCACTGAAAGAACTGTTCTTCTGAGGTGCCAAAACGGTTACAAAACTCATCATGTCTATTTTAGTCTTTGTGAGAAATTACTGAAATTAAATTATGTGTATTCTGACACATTGTAAAATTTACTTTTAAATGTTTTAGCAGCTACTCCTTATAATGTTCAACATGGAAGTCTTACATCTTGATTATAAATGTAGAAGTATACCATTTAGATAGATAATACCCTTTTAATAACTCGGCTTCAAATGAAGCTATTATAAAAATGAGTTTGCTTTATTTTTCTGACCATTTCTAAGGTCTTATAAGCAGTCAACTTTCTGAATTCTTCATTTATGATACTAATCACACAATTACCTACAGGCATGTGTTAAATATGACACCGGTTTCAGCCAAATAATGGGCCAATTGCAAACAATGAATAAAGAGAGGCAGCTCCATTTATAACCGCTGTTTCAACAGAGCTCCATTGTAATCAGAGTGATCTGAGGGTGACTCATTAATTAATTGATGTTCTTTTTTATTATGTGCTATTGAGTTAATGAGTAATTTGTGTGAGATAATTCCCTGAGCACATTGATTACTTGAGATATTTTCTGGACCTTTCATAGCAATGACAAGCTGAATAGGTAAAGGACTGCATTCGCTTTTGTGTGCTCATTATTAGTAGGTTTGAGATGAGTGCAAACCAGTGCAAAGGCACCTTAAAGTTATCTGATGTCCAAAGTGTCCTAAGTCTGCCCAACCGGATGTTGAGTGCCCAGGGCAAGACCTCTCACATGGTAGGTTCTCCATAAATGTCAATGGAAACCATGACTATATTAAAGCTTGGCTTTCTACTACCTTAAATTGCATTAAAATCACATTTAAGAACTATCTATAATGATGTTTTTAAGAAAAAGGAATAATAAAAGATTTGCTAAAACTGTATTCTGTGCTAATGGTAAATATACAGATTGTTTTTGCAATTTACTGAAGGGAACACTAAGTATGTTTGGACTGTATCATTTCTATGAAATTGTTTAAGTGACTATTCAGTGGGTGGTTTGCCTAAAGTGATAGTTAAAAGGAAACCACTTTTATCTGGTATGTTTTACTACAGATATAATTTTCAGCGCACCATCTCTTCTTTGAAAATGTAGGCTTTAGTTGAGTTTTTTGCTTTAATTAATTATGCAGAAAGGAGAAAATTTGAAATTTAGTCTGACGACATAGTTGCTTTCAGAAAGATCACTTAAAATTTGTAAATATGTGCAAAATTGTACCTAGTAATTGCTACCTTCACTTTTGACAGCTTTATTTTCCCCACAAAAGTAAATAGCAGGAAACTACCTAACTCAAAAATCTTAAATATAAAATTTGGGAAAGCATTTGATCTACTTTGTTAATGCTTATGGTTTAACTTTTAAAAGTAAATGTCCTTAAAAACTATTTTCCTTTTTCATGAGCTTAACATATGCTTTCTAGATATTACCTAGATTGTGCCAATTAAGAGCAATCCAATAGTGTAATACTCCTTTTATTAAAAACATAAACTCAAATATGAAAAATGAATGAAAGAATCCAGCAGATTTTTATTAAGCAAGATGAAAGTGAAGTTACACACTCAGGTCAGCTTTTAAACTCAGCCAGCATTCTGGTGGTCTGGAGGTGCCTGGTCCTTCATCAGAGGCAGCCTGTACGTGATGCGTGTTAGGAAGGGTGCGGTCCCTGCTTGAGAAATCAAAGCTCCATTAGAGGGGGCCTACTGGAGGCACCGGATAACAAGCTAAATGACATCAGGACAACACAGCACAAGGAGGGAAGTTGACAACAATTCAGGGACTTTGAATAGTCAAGACAATTAGCTTAGTATTTCAGGTCAAAGATGCTACTAGTTATGGGCAATTAGCTATAAAATGGCCTATTTCTGTTTTCTTTCACAAATTCATAGAGATTAAAGATAATCTAAGGAGATTAAGGCCTTACTCTTTAATCTAGGTGAGTAATTTCATTTGTAGGAAAAGCATAAGAATGAATTCTCAAAGGGTCACTCTAAATAAAAGGCAGTAAAAAACACTGTTTGGTCTCTGGGCACCAAGGATAGTTGGCTGGTTTGTTCCCAGTTTACAGGTATTTTGACAGATTGATCTTAACGTATACAGAAACATTTAAATATTTAAAGATCATCTGAAAAAGATACTGACAATTAAAACTGAATGTCCACACGAATGTCAAGCAACTCTTACCCTCTTACCAGGGATCATGTAGCACAGCAGCAGCGTTTCGCAGCACTGTCTCCCCTGCACCCATGTGCTCTGTTTTGTTTTGATTTGCTGTTTTTGGTTTTGACTATGCAAGTCTTTTTATGAATCACATGTAAGGCTCTAAGGCTAAAATAATAGTTATATTATGGGCCCCAGATAGCTACTCTTGAAGTTCTTTTATCTCACATTTGGGGGGTGGGGCACATGATTTGCACACTCTTAACCATGAAGCATTTGTAAAAATACATACCATTCACTTTGCACAGAGTCATATTCTTAAAAATGAGAGGCAATATCCAGATTCACATGCATGTCCATAATAAAGCTCTGGTTTTAAAACAACTCAAATTCACACCAGCATTATTTGCAGCTTAATATTTTGGCCCCCAAACCAAGAATTCAGGTATCACACTTCATTTTCATCTGCAATACATGTATCGGCAGCACAAAATATGTATGCAAAGAACACTGGGAAATATTGTCTCCTATACAAGCGATCAAGAAAAAAAGAAAAACCACAGCGCTAAATTTGCTCTAGTAAAAATACGCTTCCTTGTGCCTATGTGGGATTAGATTGGTTGAAAGGTAGTTTCATTACAGGGAACAGAAGCAAAGAAGCAAAATGTGAGCAACCCAGAAGGGGGATTATAGACTCATTTTTATTTCTTAAGCTGTAATTTAAATAATCAGTCTCCATAATTTCTGTTTGAAGAAAGTTTTTCTCTCTATCAGCTATCATGTATGTATGGGAATAATATTTCACCTTTAAAAAATGGAGTGTGAGATTTCAGTTTAGGAGCGATATATACCGATTGGGTTAATTACTCAAAGAAAGCAAGAATAAGACACGTCAAACTTGAAAGTGTTCACTTTTAAACATTAAAATAAGCGGCATGTAAATACAGAAAAATATATAATTACCCCTTCTCAGCTTTTTATCAATCCCTTTGTCTCTCTTCTTCTAGAAGATTCTATGAGCACTATGTTGCTCAATCAGAAGTAACCTCACTGCTCAAATATCATCCTAGCTTTAATGTGCATTATCATGATTTCAGTAGATTCACACTCAAATCCTTTTAGTGCCAGAAATTTATCAAGCCATAACGTTATTAAACACTTAGCTCTTATGGAGAGGTTTGGGCAAAATTTGTACAAGAAATTTAATTTGTCATTTAAAAGTTATCTCATAATTGTGGTAACACTTTTTGAAAGTAACCCTTTGGAAAAAACTTACGATACCCAAAGGCACTAGTTCACAACAAGGGGGCGAATGACTGAAGAGCAGAACGACAACAAAGCTATCATACAGGCGACGGGCACACGTACAAAGGATATTAAAAGGATAACTGTTAAGCTTTAAAGTTATTCTAAAAGTGGCACTTTTCACGCTGGTACAAAATGAAAGTGCTTTGAGATGAAATTTTTATGCATTCTTTTAAAGCTGATCTTAACCCCCTGAAAATAGGGGGTTATAATGAGAACACTGATAGACTCTAAATCATAGTGTCAATAATAGTGGATGTTGCTAAAATGCTTTGTGTGTCTGTATTTTTTTAGTCTTTCTAATGTTGATAGACTTGCTTTATCTATATGTGTATCATTAGTGAGATTTGCTCAACTTTTTACTAGAAAGTTACAGCTCATTTAAAATAGCTGGTAGATACAGAAAGCATAAATATACAGTAAGTTTAAACACTGATTGTACTAAATGCAACAATACAAAGAAGCAAACAGAACACAAATGGTAACACAATAAAACTGTATTACATTTGTGCTTCAGATATTACAATACATTATATACAATAGTCCAAAATAAACATCTCATGCCAAGTGACACAAAAACGAATAGCAAGCAAAAAATCCAGCAATATGTACATTACTTTTTTCTTTAATAATAAACATTCAACTCTGAACTGAGCAATTTCACTACATACAGATGCAGTCCGCCTTTTATTTCATATATCCATCCTGCTTTCCTATATCTACGCTATTCAGTAGGTTCCTGTGTCAATTCTTATATACATGTGGAGCAAAAAAGATAAAAGAATGTAGTGCTTTGTATTCTTAATGGGGTAATGTTGATAGATCAGCGAACCTGGGGTGCATAACCTTCTTTCATTAAACCTTCCTCGTAGTCCGTCTGGCAAAGGATCATGTTATTCTTTAGGAAAAATTTGTCTCCAACACAAAACCTGAAAATATTTTAAAAAATAAAATGTGTTAAGACCATTTCACTCAGATATAGAGATTTGAAGATTTCTTTTCCTAATAATAATTTCACTTTGTAATTCCCTGAATTTGAAAGCTTGGCTTAGAATTTTGTCCTTATTATCAACACTAAAACACTGTAAACAAAATTTGAAATCCTACCTTTATATATAAAAATCATAGGAACATCAAGGAAGACGCATAGGGCAGCAAATGTGATTTTTTCTATTTTTTATTTTACCAAACTGGAAAGTAAAAAGAACTGATCTATATATACACTCATTAAAATAAGAATGGATGATAATATTTCACTGCAGTGATTATAGAAGATTTCATGATCCACTTTATTTCAAAAAGGCATTGAAATGAATCAGACAGTTAGAAAATAGCCCATTTTAAAGTTTTCCATTTAAACTTTCTTTTTACTCTGTTATTAAGATGCGATTAAATTCTGGTAATTTGGAAGTGATCATTCTGAAGTGAAAGTTATTTTTAGTACCAGACTCGGATGCTGGGCCATAGTCCTTTGCCTGTGGCAAGTTCATCAACTATAAAATAGTAAATATCATTTCTTTAATTGAACACTTTCAATTAAACCTAAGGGCATAGCCTGAACACACTTTTTAATATTACTGTGATAAATAAACTATTGCCCATTACTAATTATTATTTTGTTTGATAAAAAATTGTTTAATGTGCAAGATTGTAATGTTTTTAGTAAGTGCTATCTTTGTATAATTTCCCAGTGGTGATACTTTAAACACAATTAAGGTCAGAAATAAATGCTTGTGCTGTTTCCGGTACATTTAACAATAAAGTGACTCTGGGGAGATTTGTATATATTTTTAATTGTAACAATTCAACCTTCAAACAGCAGTGTCTGGTACAGTTGACTCAGTAAAACTACTTGTAATTATACAAGTTGACCTCACTAACCTTTGATAGTGGTCGCTCTTTATCAGATAGTCAATTTTGAATGATGTTCAAGCCGAAATCTTGGTGGATAGATTAAATTCTGTATGAAAGCCACCCTTTAAGGTTTTGTGAAGTTGAAAGTTTAAATGAGGAGCAGTTGGACTGATTTACATTTGTAAAGATTGGAATGCTAGACAAACAGTGAATCTATTTATTTTCCAACTGGGTAGCTTTGGAAATTTATCCTTATTCTAGCTTAAGTAGATAGAGGGGAAAATGGTGTAATAAAAAAAGTAGATTGAAAAGAATTAGCTTTCCTCTTAAGGAAGATTGGTCTGTTTATTTGTGGAATTTACTTTTTTTCCCCAGGATTACTGCCTGCTGATGAGGTTGATTGAAAGTACAGACTACATGCTAATCATGGGATCCTGGAGTCGTCTGTGGTCAAAGCTACTGGGTGCCCTACACATTCAAGTTTGGACTTTAAGTACCCCTTTTATTGATTGCACACTGTAAACTTTAAATATTGTGCTTAAAAAGTGGTGTTGGAGTAAAACAGTTTGGGCAGATTATTCTGATTACTAAAACATTCAGAAAAGGACAGGCCTAACAGCCAATGTGAAGACTTAACTTTTGTGAGATTATATAAAATAGCATGTAGAATATATGTGATTACTGTTCAAATTTTCACTTTATATTACTATTGAAATTAATTTGAACTAAGAAGCTAAGAATAAAACATCACATCAAAAATAAATAAACTCAATTAAACACTCTTGCGTTCTAGCTGATATTACTGAATCTTTTTTTTCCTAAAAACCAACTACATTGGAAATACTCTTTCAACTCCATATTGTCTAATAAAATTTTGCTTTAATTTTTCAACACATTTTTTAACAATCCCCCAAATTCTATTCACTATCAAATGAAAACATGTTTGTTTGTTTTTTTTGTCATGTCATGTAACATCATTCTTACCTTCAGAGGCCTTGAAATTTAGATAATTTTTATTTGTAGATTTATAAACTCAGGGTTATTATAGTGAGAAAATGCACTGAACCAAGAGCCCACGTGTCTGATCTTGCTACTATCACCTACCCAAGGCAAGATATGTGACACATTTCATACTTTTTCTGAGTTAGTTCTCTGTGAATAAGCTACATCACTGGATTGTAGGAATGTTATAATAAGAAATATATGACAGGTAGAGAGGCATATTGCAATAATAGGGTTCAAATCTCAACTTTCCACTTAACGATATGAAATGAGACTTTGATTTTTCTCATCTGTAATATCAGCTACTTTTGTAATTTTGTCCTAAGGAGTATGTGACACCTTACCTCAATGTCTGGAATGTTGTGAAATTTTACCTCAATGTCTAGAGTGTTGGAAATTAAAATAGCCACCTTTTATAATGTACTTACCGTATGCTAATGTTAAGCATGTATATATGTGATCACGTTATTCCCTTCATCCAACCTAGATCAGAGATATTATCATTGCCTTTTTCAATGAAAAACCTAAGGCTTCCTCCCAGCATTTAAAATACCTGCCCAAGGTTTCATAGCTGGACGTATGTGGTGGAGGAAGGAAAGGAACCAGGTTTCTTTGGATCTAAGACCCATGCTTTTACCTGGAGGCAGCACAGCATGAGGCTACAAAGTTACACAGACCTTTTTGTGTGAGTTTTACAATTATTCCTTTTCATAACTTTCAAAAACGTCTGCCTGCCATTCAGTGAAATGTTGGTAATATAAATGAAATTCATCTGAAATATTTCTACCTGAATATTTTGTCTCTAATACATTGTCAATTGGATAAAGTACATTTTATGTGCACTTCAGTTTATACTCAAAGGTCAAGATGAAAGAGAGCATGGGTGAGGGGTGTCACAATTACATATACAACTCAAACAAAATAGCCCTGAAAGCTCTGGTGAAGAGAAAAAATTATGGCTGGGATACAATTAGAATCAGTGTCCTCCTTTAAAATGTTTCATATATAAACATGAAGCAATTAAAAAAACAGCAATGCAGATACGAATGAGACACTTAACAAAATAATCTATAACTGTGATTTTGTAAGGCAGGCTAATTTCCAATGCTATATAACCTGTTCCTTAGGAGATTTAGCACTTGCAGTAAAAATATTTAGAAAGCAGCAATACTGTTAGTATATTAATAGGTAGGGCTAAAATTACTGAAAATAAGCTGATAATCTTTCTTGCAATCTAATCTTCATTACCTGTGATATAGTCAGTTCAATTAACTTTTTCTTCATTTAAAAAAATATGTAGAAGAATAAAAAGATGCTAAATCAGGTTTTTAAACCATCTAATCATGATGTTTGGAATGAATAACAGACTTTATTTCCACATGTTTTGAGGTGATTCTAGTTGAATTTGTGTGGCCTTAGACAGTTGAAAAGTACAGAATAAATCATCCCTGTATAATACGGGGCTTAGAGTAATTTTGAGCAGGTTATCAAAAGGCTCTCTGCTAAGAACCCTCCATGTGTAACATCCTTTCTAAGAAATGAGAAGGTTAACGTAGTCATCTTCTTTTCCTTGAGGTTACTGACTGTCGCTTACTAATTTTCACCTCAACAACAATTTTAAAAAGAGAGTATCCAGTCCATACATCCAATGTCTCTACTTTCCTATTGAACATGCTCAGTTACTAAAAGATGGGAGATTTGGATCCTGTACTTTGTTTTCAGTAAGAGGCATGGGTTGTATACCCGTCACTACAGAATGGTGCACACATTTGCTGTCTTTTCCCAAAGAAAGCTCTGTTGCTATTACACACTTCATTTGTAACAATGTTTTCTGCCCCAAGTTATACTACATACACTCTGAGTTCTGCTAGAAATTATTCAATGTCTACCTTACTGTAACACCACTGTATCTAATCACATTTATATCCACTTGGCCAGAAAATAAAATACTTCTCTAGAAACAGCCTTCATACTGGCTCTGAGTCCAGAGAATAAAACCAGACTGCCAGGGTTCAAATCTCGAGCCTACCATTTTATAACTGTGTAATCTTGGAATGGTCACTTAAACTTTTTGTACTTTAGTTTCCTCATCTGTAAAATAAGATCAATAATAGTACCTACTTATGGGTTATTTCAAGTATTAAATGGGTTAGTGTACGTAAAACAGAACACTGTCTGGCATATAATCACCACTATATAAGAATGTGCTTTCATTATTATTTGCCAATGATAACCTTTTCATCTTTGCTTAGAATGTTACCTAGCCAGGGATGTTTCTTCTGCTTTTCCACCTCACTTAAAGTCTAAAATTCTTTAGTTTATCCGTCCATCAATGTTCCCTGACCACATCAAGCCATTCTGATCTTTCCCAGAATAGTTTTTATTAGTGTATCATTCATTTACATTTACATTGGCATTTCAAATTTTCTCATAAGTATGTAACAGGTTTCCGAATCTGGACAGTACTGTCGAGGTGAATGATGATGAGTTTTACTTGTTTTGAGCCCTCTGAAATACCACCATCATTGTGCAGTCGCTGAGGTGGGTGGTCAATAAATATTGGTTAAGGTAGATTTATTTCAGAATCAAATAACTTTGAAAACTAAAAATATTTCAGATGGGGTAAGTTAAATTTGTATTCAGTTTGACTTTTCGCCACGGACTTCTGTCTTTACAATTTCATCTCTGGCTCCTCACTCTATTCCTCACTCTTCCATATCACTTCCAAACTCTCGGTCTAATGTCTGAGCATACTGAGCTACTTTTAATTTCCTAAACATATTAGATGTTTTCAATGCCCCCCACACCTTTCATGCTGTTCCATCTGTCTGGGAATCCCTTTCCTCACTGCTTCTGGTTTTCCTCTCCCCAACACCCTAGCAGACACACTTCCTATATCCCAACTAGTCTCAGCGAGCTCTTTCATGAAACCCAGCACATCAGCCTGTGCCGCTTCCCTAAGACTTCCAGGATGAGCCTCTCTTCCCTTGGGATGGATCTCTTTAGCATCAATCACACGCACCCATGAGTCTCTGATGCCCGGCTCTCCCCCAGCTCTGAATAAATTGAAGAGAGAAAGTAGATTTTACTCCTCTCTGTTCCTACAGAGCCAAGCACAATGCTTTTATTCTTTAATGAAAGAAAATGAAATGTTTTCTTTCCTACATATTTGAGGTGATTTATTACAAACAAGTACATCTTTTCCTTTTCTTATAAAACCGTCATTTAGTTTTACACAATTTTCTAAGGGGGAAGACTTATTCACCTTTAATAAATTAACTATTACATAGAATTTTCCACTATTAAAGTAGGTTTAGGTTATTCTACACAACACCCAAAATAACCTTCAAAATAGAGAAATTTTTAGATTTATAATTCAGGACTCTACATTTTTCGCCATACCCCTCTAAAAAAGGGAGAGAGGGTATGTACAAGGGACAGCCAATCCTGAAAAGTTGTTATTGCTAACATTTTTAAACATTCAGAAATACTATGATCTTAATAATATTTTGATTTAAAAGCTACAGTGAGATGACTGCTAAGTAACATTCAGAAGCATGTATACTGCCATAGTTTCAGATGCCAATAACGTGTGCTTACGGGAAAGTGTCTATAAGTTACCTATGTACCTTGCATTTTCCACTTCAAGTGCAATGCTATGACCCTGATATGGCTACCCAGAGCATAGGCTTCTTTGGCATACGGCTTTATTGAAGAGGGTTTCCTAAGGCAATGTCAAAGTCAAAGCAGAATCCTCTATATTGAAAACCTTCTGTATTGAGAGAAAATTTGTCTCTCATCACCCCGCTGTGCTGGGCTGATGAAGATTAGTTGACTACCTGCATTAAAGAAGTTTGTCTTGTTGGGGCTGAAGTGACAAGACAATAACGAAGTGCTAATTGTGCATAACCAAAACTAAAGATATGCAGTCCCGTTGTGGCATGTAATAAATGAAGCGAACATAGAAATATATCAGGTATTTTAATAACGATACTAGAATAGCATTTTGCAGCAATAATAATGTGAACAGTTTTAGAGTCAAAATTTAGGAGTGTTTGTCATACTTGACTGAGTTCTACTGAGGAGACATTCTTAATTGTAAGTGTAACTTTTTATTTCAATGGTGAAATAAAATAAAACATGATTTGTAAATAGCATGAACAGCCTACAGTTACTTTGTATCATAGTAGAATTTAGCCCTTGTTTAGCATTTGAGTAATGTTTTAACTTTCTGTGTATAACATGAATAAAAGAGGTAAGCTTTCCCTAATAGAAAAAATGGACAAAGGGTATAAATAGGCAATTCCCTAAATAAAGAAATAGCAAAGGGCCACTGGTAAGCAAATGCGTGTTAACTGGAAATTATAATGAGATACCATCTTTCCTCACTTAAGGTGACAAAGATTTCTTTCTGAATAATTCCCGGTGTTAGAGTGAACGTGAAGGAATGGACAGTTTTTGCATTTCTGGTACGAGAATAATTGGTGTAACTCTTCTAGAGAGCATTTTACACTGTATAACAATAGCTTTTAAACTTTTATATATTTTTCCTAATTAATTTATGTTCCTGTGAATTTATCCTGACACAGATTTTACTATTTGTTTGTTTATAAAGTCCATATGATATTAATAATATTTGTAATATAAAAACTTGAAGAAATAACCTATACATCTGATCGTTTATTATATGGAGTTCTATTCATAAACTGAACGCAAGAAAAGCTTAAAATATCTCAAAAGAATTTTTAACTATAGGTAAAAGACACACCCTATTAAACATAAAAGCCAAATATTAAAGATTAGGATTCTCTCCTGTTACTTTCCTTTAATCTGCTCAAATGTGAGTATAGTATAAAATACATGCTATGTATCATTTGTCATATATGTATGAAAAATTGTACAGCTGGCTACACACCAAAATATTAAAATAATTTCTCTTATAATAGTGAGAAAATAGTGAAATATGAGACAATGTTATTTTTATCTCTGTATTTTCTGAATTTTTACAACAAATACGTAACCTTTTTATAAGTAGAAAAGCAGTAAGTGTTACTGCATGAAGCTAACTATTGTTTGTGGATGCTATTAGTGGATCAAATGTGACAAGGAAACAGTATTTTAAATTTACTAAATATACTTTTAAAATGTATATGCACACATGTATACGTGCATATACATGTGTCTGCATTGATGTGCGGATATTTGTGTTTGTTTATCCACATCCTTACGGACAACAAACAGCATGTGCATTTGCCACTTTATTTTTGGTTAAATGTCACCATAGACTGAATTAAATTACAGACTCTAGGCATTTGTGGGGAAGACTCGATGTTGTGAGATGATTTCTTGAATTATTTCCTGGATAAATTATACATGACAAGGTATACTGAGTCACATGCTGAATATCTATTTAGCAGGAGACATTATTGAGATATATGTCTTGTATAAAAACAAGCTAGTGAAATATTTGGTAAAAGTTATAAATAGCAAGGAAAAAGAACTAATTTTTGAGAACCTATTGTTCTATTTTCTAATTTCTACTTCTATTAATAATTCTAGTTTCTAAGAACCTGTACCTGGTACTTACATACATCATTTGATTTTCGAAGTCTGTTAGACAGGCATTAGTATCTTTATTTTAAGGGCGTGGAAACTGAAGTCAGAGAGATTCAGGAACATTCTCAGAGTCACACGGTAATACACAGTGGGGCTGGAATCTGAATCCAGGTCTCCCTGTAAACACCGTGTTCTTTCTACTGCCCTACAGGGCCTCATAAGATGCTGGGTTGAACAGTAAAACAGGGGAAATTATAATAACTTAGAACAACACAGCTAATATTTTCTGATTATATACTATATCCAGGTGTTTTCACACTCACACAGGATTTATTTTCATTAAAACCCATCACGTGTACTAATTTTTGAAATGTATTTTTAATGATATGTACACTTCAGTATTCTAATATACTCTGCATTTGTCACATAAAACAGGTACCAGTGGTATATAGTCCCACTGGAAATAAAATTTATAACTTTCAATAAAGAAAAATGGGATGAAGTCATAAGACTTTAAGATGAAAGAATTCTCTGCAGTTGACTATCCAGCTCCCTCATGTTATTAATGAGAAAACTGAAGTCCAGAGAGCTAATATTGTTGGTTTATGGTCATACATCTTGTTGGGGGCCAAGTGCAGACCAGAATTTAGGTCTTTAGATTTGCTGTGCAACACTTATTCTCCAGTGCTGCCTCTCCAATGCTGATAATTAGCAATTAACAATTGCTGATCATCTCTGGCTTTGTTCACAAAGAGACTTGAAGCAACTTAAGAAGTACATATAAAACAAGGTTAAAATTCAACATAAGAAACCAAGATAGGGTAACTATACATAAAAATAGTAAGATGAATACCCACAACCTGCCACAAATTCCCATGTATTTGCCACAGTGCAAAAGTGTTTGCTCACAGAAGTAGTACAAAAGAAAGTAAAGACATTTTAAACCTACTTTTTAAAAGACAGAAAAACATCAAAGAAAAGAATGAATAATAATAAGATTTAACCCCTGCCTGGCGTAGCTCAGTGGATTGAGCATGAGCTGCGAACCAAAGTGTTGCAGGTTCGATTCCCAATGAGGGTACAGGTGCCTGGGTTGCAGGCCATGACCCCCAGCAACTGCACATTAATGTTTCTCTCTCTCTCTCTTTAAATAAAAATAGAAATAAAAATTTAAAAAGAAGATTTAAAGTTTATAAAAGTGTTCTCATTTCCTATCACATCCTTTTATATGATAAATTTCTTTTAGGTAGAAATAGAATCTTAAGACCTTTTCCTTGGTGGCTCGTTTATGGTGCTCAATGAATGTCTGCAGAAAATAAAAATGCTGAGACTAATTGTTTCAAGTAAAGTGTACTAATATATAATTCCCACCTGTTAAACAGCCAGAAAAGAGAGTTTTACTCGTTTTTAGAAGACAAAGCAAAATCTGAGTACCTCTGATTACAGAGCTGGCATGCAAAGCAGTCCAGGTGGTAAACGTTGTCCTTGGCGCGCATCACCATCTCGAAGGCAGGGATGAGCTTGCTACAGGCGGCGCAGTTCCCTGTTACACCGAAGAGC